ATGTTAGAGATGTGACAAGTTGAAAATAAAATAAATATAAAAATTCAGATTCCAAATATTATGAAAGCTAGACTGTGAGTTTTCTGCTTTCTGTTCTGGGAGGATTTGAGAAAAGAACACAGGCCCTGAAGAATTAAGAGACAAAACATGGTAAAACAAATAGTAATAAAATAAAAATACAAACATGATGGTCTATAAACTGTAAAAGATGTTTAAAAAAAAGAGTTTGCTTGCAAAGATTTAGGAAAATTTAGATGGCTCTAAGATAAATCATCCCTCTAAGTTCAGAGGTAAAATCTCCAAAAATCACAAAGTTTAAACTTTAAGAGGAAGGGCAATAAGAAAAATGTGGGTTTAACACAATAACTTSAGTCTTGTTTTTAATAAATACAGCTTTGTAAAGCTTTATATTGAGTGATGTAACTTGAAACGCTCATGCATACGAAGCAAGGTAACCTAATCGGAAAGGGACACTCCTGTGTTGTATCCCATCAGCCAATATTAGCCGAGCCCGACTCCCGCCAGCTTTGTCTGCTTTCTGCGCCTTCAGCCGCTGTGGATTAGGCCTCTGCGAYGAGCTGAAAGGCAATACCTCCAGCCGTAGCCAATATCGCTTGCCGAAGACCTGAGACATCCAATATAGCTCCCCTTTGGGGGAGAAAGAAGRGTTTTCATCTCCGTAGTTTTATCTGTGATGATGTACTGGGGCCCCAGCATCCCTAAGATATTCCACTTTTAACCACTGCCAGAAACCTGAGCCACAAACTCAGCCACAGGGTAGGAGCCTAGGGGCTGGSGAGGAAAGTAAGGACGGCTCGGTGTTACGTTGGGCTTTAAGACTTTTTTTTTCCTTTTTCTGTCTCTACAGAATAATATAGAGCTCAGCAGAGCGGTAGTTGAAGACTCAGAGGTGAAGGCTGTTACAGCGACACAGGATTCTATGACCGAGGAGGCGATAGGAGCTCCTCTGGCCATGTGGGAGTCGGAGGTCCAGAATATCGAGCTGGAGAAAGGAGAAGGGGGGTTGGGATTCAGTATTTTGGATTACCAGGTGGGAAAATCTGATTTAAAATGAAAATATGTCATTTTATCCTCCATTCGCGTGGGGTCGATTCAAAACAGTTCGTCAAATTGATCGCCGGTTCTTCCGCAGGACCCGCTGGACCCCACCAAGTCGGTGATCGTGATCCGCTCTCTGGTTCCGAACGGCGTGGCGGAGAAAGACGGCAGGCTGCTGCCAGGGGACCGACTCATGTACGTGAACGCCACGGACCTGGAGCACGCCAGCCTGGAGGACGCCGTCCAGGCCCTGAAGGGGGCCAAACTGGGCAAGGTTCAGATCGGGGTCGCCAAGCCGCTGCCTGTAGGCGCCACTCTCTTGAGTTTACATTTTAACCGTGTTTGAATGTGAAAAGTCATATGGGACTTGTTTTTTTTTATTTATTTTTTTATCCCTGTAATACCCGTGTATCTATGTGAGCCGAGCTGTTTCTGTGTGTGTGTTAGCACAGCCACCAGGGCTCAGCTTACAAGAGCTTGAATTTTTCATGCTGGAAAAAAAAAAACAGTTGCGGCGGTGTGGTGTAGCATTCCGCCCGCCGTACTGTCAAAAACAGGTGCCCGCTCTAAAATGTCATCGTTTCTTGGTTTGTTATTAAGCAGCACCCTTTCCTTTCCACACACGCGGAGTCACCTGTCAGAATAGTTGTTCCGTCCAACGGCATGTTCATCACTCCTGGTACCGGAGCTCTTTGAACGGTCTTTCTCTCAGCAGAAAAAAGAAAAAAGAAGAACCCAGCTTGCACTCTTTCTGCTGTAGAGCTCCCCTTTTTTTAAAACTCGTATTGAATCTATCTTTGGATTACTCAGCGAGACCTCTGGGCTGCCAGGGGTTAGCTGGATTACTGAGCTGCAGGAGGCTCTCCTGCAGGATGTGGAATGTACTCCTGAGGGGTATTTTGTTGTATTGCCTTTCAAAATTGAGTCTGATGTGTGTAATCCTCCCAATGTGCCTGCTTGCTTTTTTTATATATCTATCTATCTATCTATCTA